TGGAATGAGAATTAGAGTATTGTAGTAGGAGTTTGAGTGACACGCTATTGTTGTTCCCCTTTTATTTTTTCTTCTGCTTTCAAGGAGTAACTTTTGTTATTTGGTAAAAATTTATCCATTTCTGTGTGAGCACTGTGTTCCCCCAGATACCTTTAGGTTTTCTGCATATACATTCTAATTCTAAAGCTTTTAACATGCAAGCAGAATATACTTGTTGAGTAGTTGAACGTTACTTTCCTCTAAGGCAATACTGGCATAGTAGCCAGTTCCTGGAGGACAGATGTTTGTGAACAGTTAGAGGGCCTCCATCTCTTCACTGTTCGCTTCAGAAAATTTGTCTCCTTTGTCCAAAATTGATAATTGTGGTCAGAGTCATGCTGATGGCTGAAATTATGTCTATTTTCAGGGAGCTCCAATGGGATGAAGGCTTTGCTCTATTGCTTTGTAAGACCAGGATGTTATTTGGAGGGACATCTTTTATTTAGAGATTTGTTGATTTTGTTGGCCAGTGTTCATATGCCTTTCACAGCAGCTAAGAACTGGGGTTTTGCAGTCTTACTGCGGGAGGGTAAAATCTTTCACAGGTAAAATCTTTTTCAAAAGAAAAAACATATTTCTTTACTAAGATATGCTGTAATTCAGAAAGCCTGCGTTCATCCAAGTCAAAAGTCATCTAGTATAGACATTAGCTGGAAAAACTACATTTACATCTACTGGTATATGGACTAAGTGTGAAAATGTGTTATTTTCAGATAGGCCAGTAGAAACTCATATAGCTCAACTATGTGCAAAGAAACTTTAAGATGAAATTTAAAAATACTTTAATTGCTTTGTTTTCTTCATTCTGTGAAATATTTGTCACATAAACATCCCCCTAAAAATGTTCTGTGGGTGTGTGCCACATCTGATCCTGTGATCAGAGTGCCCATTCTTTATAGACTCATAGAATAGAATCATAGAATAGTTAGGGTTGGAAAGGACCTTAAGATCATCTAGTTCCAACCCCCGTGCCATGAGCAGGGACACCACACACTAAACTATGTCGCCCAAGGCTCTGTCCAACCTGGCCTTGAACACCACAAGGGTTGGAGCATTCGCAACTTCCTTGGGCAACCCATTCCAGTGCCTCACCACCCTCACTGTGAAGAACTTCTTCCTTATACCTAACCTAAAGTTCCCCTGTTTAAGTTTGAAGCCATTACCCCTTGTCCTACAACTAGAATCCCTAACGAAGAGTCCCTCCCCAGCATCCTTGTAGGCCCCCTTCAGATATTGATCATCTGGTATGTAGATCTGAGTGTTGCTCAGATCTAATATGAGTGTTGCTCATATTTAATCTTTTGAATGATATAAAGGCCAGCACTACTGCAACCTTGCCCTGAGAATGGTCAAAATGTGACATGCTGGCCCCAGGAATTATTAAAGCATGCTGTGACATGCTTACCATGCTTTCCCAATGAACTTAAGCTGGTATAAATGAGCACTGCAACCTACAGTTGCACCTAACCCCTACAATCATAAATTTTCCTGCCTCAGTTCTACCCAGATGTTTGTGCAGCTGTTTAGTGAACCAGATAACAGTAAAACTCTTTTTTGTTCTTCCTTTTCTTCTGCATTACTTTTTAACATGGATCAATTCCCTCCTCTTCCTTGCAGATACACTTTTGTCATGGCAGGGGGGAGGAGTGGTGGCAGGAATCCATGGCCAAGAGTGGCTTGGTGGTGACATTGCCACCTTTGGTGGGTGGGCTTAGGCACTGCCTGGGCTGTTCCCTCTCTCTTGCTCACAGCAAGTGAATTATGAGACACCCATGAGACACCAATTATGAGACATCCTGTTTCTCTGCTCATACTCAGAGTAAACTAGGAGCAGGAAAATAAGAAGGATTTTGCTTGCCTGTGCTTGCAACAGTCTGGTTGTAATTGAGGACTTGATGAACACTTGTTTCCTGCCCCATTCATTAACCTAGCCTAGTTTTAAAGAAATTACCCTGCGTTGTGGCAGGGATGTCCTCCCAGATGATGTCAGTAGAAATGCATGTAGCTTGGGCAACTGGGGCTCTCTATATTAACCGGGCGTGCATTGGGCAGATGTACAAATCTAGTTGGTATTAAAAAATATTAATAATTGTAGTTCAGGAGCATATGGATGGTATTTCTACCAAAGCACAGGTGGGTAGAAAGTAGGTACAGAGGAAGAAGGTATTTGAGATGACTGGGACAGTCAACTGTGCAGTCAGACACTTCCCCTCAAGAATTTTTGTTTTCTTTATAAAGGTTTCTTAAAATTCCCATTACCCTCTTTGAAGTGCCATGTGGTGACCCTTTAGGAAAAGTGTTAACTCTGTCCTTTTGGGAAACCCTAGGATAGCAGTATGTGATCATGCTGTCACAGAAAGTACTTTATGTGGAGCTGAATGTAAATATCATGGGAAAAACTGAAATTCTGAACATTTCTCTTATTTTATCTTTGACAGAATAAGGGCATTTTGACATCTGGACGTTTTTGGTGTTTATATATTTGGGCTTTTTAAAATTTTCTGAATTTAAGGTAGAGTAGGTAGGATACGTTAAAGACTTATTGATGTTCTTTAAGCACTTGAAGTGTATTATTAAAAAAAAAAGAAAAATAATTTGGCTTCCCCCTCACAACAGCAGCATTATACATGGTCAGTGAGGAGACTGTTTATGCTATTGGTCATCCAGATTTGGAGTAATCTAGTGACCATTTCTACTTCTTCGTAAAAAAATGTTCTCATTTACAATATGGACTCTCTAAAGTACATTAAAGAATACAGCTTTTATATTGTCACTAATAGTGGCCTTGGATTTGAATGTAAACCTATAGGCAAAAAATTTATCATGCATATATATAAACAGCATTCAAAAATACTAGTTGAATATTAAAAGGAAGTATTTTGGTCAAAGAAACATGGCGTATTTTTTCCCCTGACCTCATTGAAGTTTTCCAAAATTTTGAAAGTTCTCGAGGTACGTAACTGCCTGTTCCTCCCCTGTATAAGCATCAGTGCATAGTGTTATATTTTCACCATTTGCACTGACAAACAATGTTATGCTTAAAAACGTTAGTGTTTTCAGCTCATAGAGCCCGTTTTTATGAATTCTTTAATGTCTGATGTATTCCTTAAGAATATCTTCGAGGAGTTACATTTCAAGTAGCAGTGCCAAAATATTTTATCTAGGGTAAAGAGCTCAGTACACTTTCCAGAATAAATGCTGATGCTGAGTAAATATTTTTTTTCCTTATTCCTGAGTAAATAGGCTGTTGCTTTGAGAAGCCTATATTTTTAAAGGAGAGTCAGAGGATGAGCACATTCCTTTAGTGCAAAGAAGTATTACAACTTCTCCTGTATGGACCTAGCTGGTGCACAAGTGACAATTCAATTTGAATTGTCAGATGAAATCTTCTAGAGACACAAGACCTGAACAACAACAGAAAATCCTGAAATACAGTTTTAAAATATCCCTGAAGGAGGAAACCTGATCACAGGTCTATTTTTATTCCTCTGGTCAAGGTTGATTAATTGGAGGGAAGGGCTGTAATGCCAGCAAGTGAGAAAACATCATTAGTATACTGCCCATTACATGCTCTGCTTCTCATGTGGTGTTCTGTGTTGTTAGAGACTGCAGTTGAGCCAAAATACATAAATGAAAGGAAATGAGACTGTTTAGATTATACCATGACCCCATCCATGTGACTTTGTCTGCCACCTCTTCTGTAATCACTGTTAATTCAGTATCAGAGGAAACTGGTCTGCAGTGATAGGGATTTGCAGTGCACCAAACTGCCAGGCCTCTTCTGCTAGTAGAACCTGTTATTTAATGCTAGACTATCCTTCCCTTGGCTTCATAAACCCAAGCATTAGTACTGGCAGGTTGCTGCCAAATCTGTCTCATCCCTCTGAATATCTGTACACCAAATCATGGTCATTATTCCTGCTTTTATCAGCTGTTCCTGCATCAAGAGGGCACTTCATCCTCTCTCTTCTTTAGGATTCACTTGTCAGGCAATTAGGGGGGTTTGTGTCTAACAGCTAAATGATCTATTTATACTCACCTTGCAGAAATAGTGGGATCAAGATTTGGCCTGTTTTGTTGATACGTTCTGTTGTGTGTTGGGAGTCTGACTGACTGCTACCATCTATAAATTAGATTTGTGGTAATCAGCATATTGGAGGAAAATGGGGGAAACTGAAATGGTACTCTTTAAGAGTGTCTCTGAAGCACAAGGCTAGAGATACACAAGGCAGAGGAGAATGTGCTGCTTGACAGCTTTCTTGCTAGGGAGAAAAGCTGAGTGGAAGAGAGCATGGCATGAATACAGTAATTGGTGAAGATACGTAAGGATGAATATCACCAATTTCATTTTGTTGGGGCATTTTGTTTGTTTTATTTTGTTGTTTTATTTTTGTTTGTTTACTGTTCTTTCAGTTTATCTGTCTGAGGTTGATTATTACTTATCATAGTACTCCTCTGTAAATCAATTTTTTTTTTCCAAATAAATAAAAATTGGAACTATTTAAAGAGATGTTGTCAACTTAAAAATCACACTCAATCTAGAATGAATGAAATGAATACTCCTTGTATGGACAGAAATCAAGGGCTTTTCGCCCACGTGCCCTTCTTCCTGCTTCTCTTTTTGTACTGAATAGCACCTTTAGTTAAGTAATTTCATCCTATATTCAGTCCACTAATTAAACTTCTGTGAGTCCTCCCTGATTCTGTTAAAAGGTTATTGTTTAAAAATGTTAGTAAACATTTTTTAAAGGAAAATTTGAGGATCACATTATAATGAATTATTTATCATTAAAAAAACCCCAAAAACTAACAAACCCCCACAAACCTAAGTATAGTTTACCTGTGTTTCTTTACTGTCCTTTTTTTACTCCTATATTTTGTATTTCCATTGCAACTTTTTATGTTGTCCAACTTTTAACTAAAACTGCAAGTTTTAAAGGAGCATAATTATTTTTTTTCAGAGTGTTGGGAAGAAATTACCTCCAGCCACAGCAACTCAGGAGCCAACAAAAATAGAAGTGGACAGCAGAACAAAAAGTAGGTTTCATAGTTTTTTTCCTTCATTGCACTTCGTGCTATTAAGCCTCTTAAAAGCAAGTTGAACATTTGTCTTGTTTTGGCTAAAGGACTGTCCTCTATATATCAAAAACAAGGATGCAGATATATATATTCAGGATAAACTTTGAGTAGGCAGTACATAGAATGCTTAGCTTCATAGAAGTCTCTGAATTGTCTTTGCTCTGGTAATCCTACCTTGAATTTTCTGCTACCAAAAATCAAATTAAATTACATGATCAGCTTTCAGCCTTGGAGGTACATCGGAATTAATCAGAGTTGAAGATACAACTTTAGGCTGTAACTTGTAGGTAGGTCATAGAAAAAATATCTCTGGTTGTGAGTGCCCTTGCTTTTTTCCTCTTTATTTCTTTCTTTATGTAGCAGAAGTCATCTGTGTGGGTGGTATAGTTTGTATGGGAAATGAACAGTGTCCAAGAACTTCAGTTCTGGTTTTGTCATTTCACTGCTTAGTAGAAAAAAACAATAAATAAATCTTCTAGGCAGGTTTCAGTGCTGCTCTAGGGAGGCATATGTAACTAGCTTATCAAATAACGGAGGTATATATTCCCCATCATTTGATTTCAGTTGTATAAAATAACAAGTAAATGTAATGGATTGTGGTAGAAAAGAATAAGGAAGAGAACTTAGCCATACCTTAGAAAAGAAACTGAGTATAATATGGTGTTGAGTTTTTAAGTCGCACAGTCCTCCTTCCCTGATGTGTTTATCATTTTAGATATTTAGCAGGTAACACTTTGCCTCAGAACTGAAACACATGAAGACATAGGAAGGCAAGCATCTGGAGGAGCAGACCAGGCACTGTCTGAGAGAAGTGTATGGTTATGACCTGGTTTACCACATGTTTTCAGCTCAGACTTGCAAAAGTAGTTTAAAACAGCTTTTAGTGAGTTATTGTCCATTAGCTGCAAAACACTAATTGACTTGCTGCATCCTTTTTTCTTGTTCCCCTTGTGACATCAGGCTGTTAATGGGACATGCTACAAGAACTCAATTGCCCTGAGGAAGTGAGAACTTGCGATACTGAAACGTGTGAACTAGTAGTGTAGAGCAGGGCTCCTGAACCGAGACGTTTTGGAATTACCTTTCCCGACCTGCGGCTTGAGCAGCTTAAGCTAGCCAGAGTGGAGGGGTCATCAGAAGGGGTGGTCCCATGGGTTTTCCCACCCTCAGCACCAACCAGGTTTGCGTGGTAAACCAGGCTGGGAGACACTTGCCTCTTTCCACAACAGTTCATACTTCTGATAGCTGAAGCTGCTCACTAAATCATATCCCAGGGTACTAAGGTTTCATTCTTTCACTGCTTATAAACTAAAGTGGAAACCTTCTGGACAATATTTAGAGAAATGTACCTTCTAGAGTGACACACTGAGCTCTGGCTGGCACAGAGACAGTTCTCCATCAATACATTTGGGCTCTGATTGGTTCTTGCTTCACCTTTTTGTTATTTCCCTCAGATGTGCCTTTTTTGATCAGAAAATTCCTCTTCTTGCCATCTATTTTTACCATGGTTGTGTGTATCATTCAATATCCCTTTTGCCAGAACTAGTGAGAAGGGTGAGCCACTTACTCATACAGAATCTTTACATGTCCTGTGAATTTTACCTAAGCTTTATTATTTAGGATATTTTATCTTTCCTGGATTCTCTGGGGCCTCAGTAGAATATTTAGTATCTCTATTCTTGCTTGGGAAAGAGAAGTACACGTATGGGAAGGTCTGATACAATGTAGTTTAGATATAATAACGTGATTTAGATTCCCTTGGGTTTACTATTATGTATGCTGCAAGCAAGAAAGGGATTACCTTGGTAGTTTTTCACCTTCCACCTGTTTCTTTCCATTAATGATGTTGTTATTCCTTAGTCTCGACTGGATAAAAAATGCAGTTGTACTGTCGAAGAGCCTGCTGAGAGAGGAAGCAGGAAGCACTAACATCTTCTGTCTCTGCCCACAGGAGCTTCAGTATAGAGTGATGGTTGCTGATGCTTCCCACATGTTGATTTGAGTCTGCTTTTTTCTTGTAGCTTTTCTGATGTGATAGGGCAGTGATTTGCAGCAAGCCACCAGATGTGCTTGCCGTTTGATCTTAGTACATGCAAGATGGCCTAAGCTCTGCAATGGGATGAGCTGGCCAGTGCAAGAGTCAGAGCAGTATGTTATATAGGTGCCTCTCCCAACAATATGCTATGTAAATCTCCCTAAAAAATGGGCTTAAGGTTTTGGGAGATAAGCAGATGACTCTTCAAGGCCAAAGAAGACTTTCTGCTCAATGAGAGAGCACAGTGAAAGTACAAATTGTTAAAGAGCTTAAGTAGTCCTTTGGAAAAACATCACTAATGTTTCAGGAATGAAAGATTGCATCTTTGAAGAGGAGAGAGCTGTTTGTTTTGGATTTGTGGGTGCCTAGACTTATAGGGGAATTATTCTCCTGTTAAATTTCTGTCTTTCTTGCTTAGCTGGGATGGCGTATGCATGCATATGTGTTTATGTTCTGTCTCAGGGGTTATATATATTGGGTTTTCTATGAAGTAGCTTGCTTTAGTCTAAGTCGCTTGTGGTATAAGGGCTATATTGTAGAAAATATATATACATTTTTACATTTGGATTCTAAAATTCAGCAGAGCAAACCCATCCGCAATGATTGAGAGAGCTACTGCAGATTACTGAGACTGCAAAATAGTGGAGTACAAATAAGCAGATAACAAAACAGCAAAGGCAGTAAGTCACAGAATGCATTGACCACAGCACTTGATTTGATTACTCCACTTACTGACTATTTGCAATTCGTGTTAAGCTCTTGCATAGGAATAGCAAAATCCTAGCAAGCAACTAATCTTTTTGCATGATGGCAGAAGTTATAAGAAGGTGCTGAATCTGGATTAGTGGGGCTGTAGTTACTTTTGTTTCTACATTTTATCCTGATGAGGTGGCTTTTTGCAGTTTGCATCTCATGGAGTTCTGTGAAAATAGTAGTGTAACCCATTTACGAGTCTTGAGTGTAGCAGTTAGTAGTAAAACAAAATTCTGCTGAATTAGGTGTTTAGATTTTTTTCATCTGGTTTGTGGTTTTGGTAACAATGATGTAATTTTTCACTAGATTTTGTACATTTTATTCCATATAATTACAAAGAGGAAGCTTAAGCTCAAGGAACATGCTGCTTGTTTTCTTACTTAGTATTATTGTTTGTGTCTTTATTGATTGGTGTATGATTTAGACTTCATCAAGGGGGAAATGTTTAATTCTCAAAAATGAACTATACACTTTGTTTCACTAAAGAGGAAAAATAAAAAGAAGTCAGTTTCTGAAAAGCTAAAAGGGTGAATCCAGCTCAGTGGTTAGCTTACCTGAGATGGAGGAAATCTTGCCATGGGGTGGAACAGTTCTTTAACAACAAGGAAGCAACAGCAGCAGAGTTAGGAAGAGGAAATTGTGTCATTCTGGCCTAAGAGGAAAAGCAAATTCCAGACTCACTATCCTCTGTGAAATTTAAGCTTGAAGGTATGTTTGTCTGTGGACTGCTGTCTTGAAAGTCACAGCTCATCCTAAGAGTTAAGCAGGAGAACAAATAGAAGAGACATGCTTTTAAAGTGAAACAGGGTCCATTGATACAGTAAATGGAGTTTGCTCAGTTCTGATTTGAACTGTGTAATATTTTACCAGTCTCTCAAGATACAATTATCAGATGAATTTACCTCCTACAGTATTGCAGGACCCCAGTTCATATAGAAGGTCTGTACATTGACAGCAGTGCTTTACGCTGCAATTGTAAGTATATATTGAGCCACTGAATTCTATGGGTGAAATACAGTGCTTAAAATGGCCTACGTAATGACATAGCTGTATTCTGTAGGAAGGCTATCTCCTGCTGTCATTCTCCCTCTCTGAGGTAATGAATGGGGGGAGAGGTGCTTAGGACTATCAAATATGCTGCATTTTGAACTTGTGACAGACTGTGGGACGTAAGGTGCTGAACAGAGGTGCATGTTAGCTACAGCCATAAAATATCCAGTTCATTTTACAGGATAGCACCTTTGTAGTGTTTAGGATGGCCCTGACACTTTTTCCTCAATGAAGTGTGGGTAGTGACACATCACTTGTAATAAATATCTAGTTCTTTGCTGCTGCTTTTTCTTCCAACTTCTGAGCTGCAAGGATGATGCTAGGAAGGGGAATTGCATGTCACCCTGGGCCCTTGGGATCTGTTAGAGAAGCTAGCAATGGCTTTGTTCTTCCTTCAAAAGGGTGGGACTAGGAGGGATGTGGGCAGAGAAGATGATTATTGTTGTGTCATCTTTGTACCTAGTCTAGCTGGAACAGTACAGTTCAAAAATCACAGAATGTAGCCAAGGGTACACATTTTCAAATGGGACTATACCTAGGCCAAGCCCTCTCAGTTCAGAGTATGCTGGGCCAGAAGCTGAATATCTTACATTAGATCCAGCCTGTCTGAGTTGTAATATACTTTGTAAGATTTATCTGCTCACTCAGTTCCCTGAGCAATGCCGATTGCCTATGGCAGGTTGTTCTCCTTTGCTTGGGAGGAGCTGTGAGGTTGCAGGGCGAGACTCTGGTCTGACCGAATAAAATATTGTTGAATTAATAAATGTGGATGGAACAGCTCATCAGTATTGTCTTTTCTCCTCCCTTAATGTTTCAAAGTTGTCTGCTGTTGGGGATTTATTAACAGATATATTTTTTAAGATGTCTTCAGGTCAGAGATAAAAAGAGAGACTTCTTGAAGAACCATCTATTGATGTATAAACCCAGCCTTGGATGTCAAATGTAAAAATTACTTTTATCATCTACAGTTGGGGGATGCTTCATGTTGGTATCTTATTTGAAGCTTTAATTTGAATTGGTCAGCCTGGGGAAGAGAAGGCTCTGGGCAAACAGCCTTCCAATACCACAGCCTTCCAATACTGAAGAGAGGCCTACAGGAAGGCTGGAGAGGGACTTTTTACAAGAACAGGTAGGGACAATGCAGGGGCTTTAAGCTGAAATAGGGTAGATTTAGGTTAGATATTAGGAAGAAGTTCTTTACTGTGAGGGTGGTGAGGTACTGGAACAGGTTGCCCAGAGAAGCTGTGGCTGCCCCATCCCTGGCAGTGTTAAAGGCCAGGTTGGATGGGGCTTGGAACAACCTGGTCTAGTGGGAGGTGTCCCTGCCCTTGGCAAGGGATTGGAACTAAATGATCTTCAAGGTCCTGTCCAACACAAACCATTCTATGACTCCGTGATCCTATGATTCCATGACTTACGTCCATTTGCCAGGCTTGTAATAGGATATATTGTTTTGACCTTTAGTTTTTTGATGGTGGGGTTTTTTTGGTGGGTTTTCTTTTTTTTTGGGGTTTTTTTTCATTCACTTGGAAAAACCCCAAGTTCAACAAGTTCCAGTGTGGTCTCAACAGTGCTGTGTCTGAAATTAATATTTCCTTTTATCTTTTCATCCTTCCTATCTAAACATAACTGCTGAAATTAAGGTCTTCTACATCCTCTTTTGGTATTGTGCTGTGTTGATTAAGGACAATTTTAGTACCAAAGTGACATAACCTATTAAATTAATCTCTGCTTTTATTAATCTGTTTTTAAAGGTTCATGTAACTTTGAGTCCTATTGGCTTTGGTTTTACTTACGTAAATTGTGTTGGTCTGTCATTCCCTTAGGAGAAGTTTGAAGCTGACTTTGTCCAGTTGCTTAGATTGTTCCAGACCCAACTCTGTTGCAGCATGATCCACACAGTTCTTGTTAGGCAGAGGAATGTATTCATTTAGTGTATGTCAGTGCGAATTGCACTCAAGGAGTCCAGACTTCTACTGTAGAGAAACTATAAACTTTTTCCATGGCTGTGCCTTCACACTGTGTTCTTGTGGCAGCCTTCAGAGCACAGGACAGCTGTGAGCCTCTCTCAGTTCCCTCTTGTGCCTCTCGCAAGATTGCCTCCTGGCTCTTTATGAACTGCATCAGCATTTGGCTGAGCTTAACATCTGGTTTTTGCCATTCTTCTCTACTTAAATTCCTTTTTTCTCTGCTATCTGGATATTATAAAAAAAAAAGGAAAGAAAAAAGGTAAAAGCTTATTGGAGAGGGTGAACAGGTCATGTGAGAACAGAGTTCTTTAGATAAAACCCAAAATGTGAAGATATGTAGCCATTTGCTATGAGTGAAAGGACTGTAGGTTCTGCAGTTAAAGTCTTGCTGGTTTTGACAGTCACTTACTGTCAGATCAACATTGACACATACTTAGAAAGAAAAAACAATACAAATGAAAGCACTTACTTTCCTGAATATCAACTCACTTTTTTCAGGTGCTGAAATCTCTCCACTCTTGTCTGTTGTGATCTATCACCTTGGTCTTCAAATAGCAAGGGGGAGTTGAGGCAGGACCAGCCACTTGCTCCCCGACAGGGGAGAGACTAGGGGAAGCAAAAGCAAGAAAACTCATGGATAAAGACAGTTTAATAAGTGAAAGAAAGGAAAAAAAGAGGTGATGCAAAGGCAGTTATTTACCGCCTGCCACAAGTATACCAATGGCCAGCCAATCTCCAAGCAATGCCCACCTCCCAGACCAACATCCCCCAAGCCCACCCTTTTTTATAGCTGAGCAGGAGGCTATACAATACAGAATATCCCTTTGCTCAGCTTGGGTCAGCTGTCCTGGCTGTGTCCCCTCCCAGCTTCTTGCCCACCTCTGGCCTGCTTGCTGGGGGTGCAGAATGGGGAACAAGAGAAAGCCCAGGGTATTTTGGCTTGCCTCCAGCTGCTGTGCCAGAGGGACCTGGCTCTTCCATAAGCTGTGCACTGTATCTGCCATTGTATCCCCCCTGCCTTGGTGGAGCCTCAAATACCCGAAAGTGTTATAATGCAGGCTTTCTTTATAGTAAGTGTAAAAAAATAAGTCCTGTTGTTTTGATTTAATTTATATTTCTGTGGCCTGCAAGTAGCTATTTCTCTGCATCAAATGTGACAGTTGACTAGATGGAGAGGTCATCAAAACTTAGACATTTAAAGTGAGGAGAACACTTCTACATAGTCACATGCCCTTCTACAAAGGGTCCAAAAGTATTTCTATATGTTTCTTTGGTCTTTTAAACCTGCTGTCTTAGAGTATCATATATTTTTATACATTATTTAACAGATGGAATACATATTCCCTTTTTATTTGTAAGGCACATTGACATACTTGTCTGTTGCACAGCAACATGTTGTAAGTAACTGCTCTTCATGACAACTGCTTTTTATGATTTCTAAGTAGGAGTGCTGCCTCCTGTATTTTCCAGATGAAAGCTGAGATGATGCCCTTATTTATAGATGGTAGAGGGAAAAGGGAAGAGGAAACTTCAGACTAATATTCAAAACTCTTCTTTTATGCTGAGTGTGCAGAAGATTTAGTTATAAATGCCTTTAACTTTTTTAATGTATGATTTATTATTTAATATCTTTAGAAATTCAGAAATACCTGCCTTTCTGCACATCAGGGAATAGATAAGCTATGTCAGCATACTGGGTCATTTATGCTTCCAATTTTTGTGATCTGGTAGAAGGCCATACCAGTAGAACTATTGAAGCAAATGTCAGATATAGGCTTACTCTAAGGGAAATGGTTTGTGGCAGGTTGCTGTCTGGAGCAATTTCATTTGAGATAATGGTTCTAGGGGCTACGGAGCC